AAGTCCCAGAATTCCTCAGCCGCCATGCACACTTGCTGAGGAATTCTGGGAGTTGAAGTCCACAAGTTATAAAAGGGCCAAGTTTGAAGACCCCTGTGCTATATCAATACATCACTTTCAGCACCATGGCCAGCAGCCCTGCAATGCTAATTCGACATGCTGATTCTATGAATAGAGGTTTAAAAACAATCTTCAGCTATCTTTATTCCAAATTTCATCCTCAACCTGTTTACAACAGAGAGAAACATGGTCTTGTTTATCATTGTCACGTCTAAGCCTTATTTTTCCTACCTGATAAGAAATTCTCATAAAGCTCCAAAATAATTCTGTTCAAGGCTCTGATCATGCATGTGTGCCTCGGTACCATTGCTACACCATATAGCACAGCTTGTATTCCTACCTTCTCAGTGATCTAATTAGGACCACAAATATTGACAGTGACAGATATTGTGGTCTATTTTTGTTCCAAGAAGGGCCAATTGCTTAAGGACTGAATCCACAAAAGGACATATACTATATCTCCCTCTCTAATTCAAAGAGGCTGTTTCAGGAATCTGTTGTAGCCACTCCATTCCCTATGAGAAAGTGCTGTTTGTCTCCATTTTCCTCTGTGCAAATTACAATCAACAAAAACAAACACGCCCTTGCATCAATCTCCCACCCGACTGCACCAAATATGCAAAGCTGAAGCATGAAGAGTCAGATTAAATTAGAATTATGCTCAATTTCTTGCAATTAAAACCCAAAGTGCAAAGTGCATGTAGAGAGGCACCTCTCTACATGCACTTTGCACTTGGTGTTTTAATTGTGTTAAAACACAGTGTTAGTGTGTTTATTAATATTAGGGATTTATTAGTTTTCTAAAATTATGTAAGTAATTTTATTGTGTTTAATAAACAATAAAGCAACAGTGGAACTTTGATGACTAAAATAACATATGTTACAATTTATGTTTAAAATACATCACTCAGATACTGGATTTCTGAGGCTCAGTCCTTAACTAAATGCATATATACTGTAGGTAGTGCTTTACTTAAGACTGGTCACTTAACAAGTGTAATTACTACCAACTTCCTAAAAAGGAAATTATGACCTGGATTTAAAGGTCCAATAGTTGGGCCACCTCTGCAGTCATGTGATCAAACTCTACCTGCTTGGCAACATGGCCACATTTATGGTTATCTGCAGTGTCCCATTGTCACAGACTACATTTTATGATGGTTTTGCAGAAAACTGTCACTTACATCCAGTTTTCAACAAAACCAGACCAGTAGTGAAATCCTTGGTTCGTTTAATGACCATGGCATTTGCCTAACAACTTGGATTCACTTCATAAGCATGGGACAACCATAAAAAAAAATCCATAAAATCACCAACCCATTTTATGACTATCACAACATATGACCATAATGAGGCTCCAATATGGTTGTACGTCAAGGACTACCTGTAATCTAACAGAGGTGTTTATCAATACAGGAGGTGGAGCCTGGAGATTGGGGGGTGGGGGAGAGGAGGACATCTAAATCTCCAGAACCTAACATATAACAAGGATTGTTTTCCTTCCATTGTGTTTAACAGACTTATAATCTTGTGTCTTTCTATATAAGTCACTCAGAGGCACCCTATAGAAAATGACTTGTTTTTTTGCTTTCAGCCCCATATCTTATGGATGAATGAAAACTCTAGAGTGACCTTTCCAATAAGCATAAATCATCAACGGAAGAAGGTCCAGACTCATCCATATTCCACCAAGATAATCCCACCAAGAGTTTGTTTGTGGTGGAATTAGTGCACTAGATAAAATCAATCTTAAGGGAGTTTTCCAGAATTGCACAAGTAATATAAGGGTAGCTAGATTAATGGTTCAATAGAAATTCATGTATTGAAACCATCCACTTTTCCTGCTCTCTTTGAAATCATCTTTGTCATATTCATGCTGTTTCTTCATGAACTACCTTCATGGAAAGATGAGATAAAGTTTGCAAAAATGAGATGCTGTATGTACTTCATTCATACAACTACTGACCTCTACTGTTTTTACCTGCTGCAGAAAAGATGCTTCCAAGAAATTAAGCAGCTAGATATGAAATAAAGTTGAATATTGTTGAAGCCCAAATTGACTTTAAAGTTTTTGTGTGGTTAATTGTCAGAGAAACTGTAAGCACTTGAATGTAGGTATTCTCTGAACAGTGCTCTGAGATTAAAGGAATGGAAGTTGATTGATTGATTTAATATGCTATTAATTTATTAAAGTTTAATATTTAAAATTTAAATTATTAATAGAAGACAACAATGCATAAAAAAGAATGAAAATGCCTTTGCTGTTCACCAATGCACCCTACCGTGCATGGAAGTAATTCTGTTTTTTCAAATTCATTTTTTAAAAAGATAATTTAAAATAATATGGGTCTTGTCTTTGGAGGAATCCTGTAGCTGTCTTATATTATTATTTTTTTTGCTAGGGGACTTTATAAAATTTTTTGCCATACCTGCATGGAGTCTCAGTTATATAGTCATTATTCCACTGATAATGTCAGGAACAATGCTGATTTCCTCACAAAGAAAACCTGGGACTTTATGCTATACTTTATACGTATTCTACTAATTCCAGTCTTATCTCCAGGAAGTTTCTGCTTTTTTTTCTCATAAGTTTTAAATTGACCTGCATTCTGGTGGCCCTATGTTAGATTGATCAAAACAGATCATTTCCATATAATTGCTAAGAAGGCAAGATATGGTCACCAAGCGTTCATTCTGATAAAAGTGTTTAGCTTCACCTTATGGTACATTGATTCTATGCTCATCTCTTCTGTTTTGGTTGATTTTAGATTTTTTTTTATCCCCATTGTCTCATAAAAGTAGTCCTCGACTTACAACAGTTCATTTAGTGACCGTTTGAAGTTAAAATGGCACCGAAAAAGTCACTTGTGATCATTTTTCACCCTTACAGCCATTGCAGCATCCCCGCGTCACATGAATAAAATTCAGACACTTGTCCACTGACTCATATTTATGATGGTTGCAGTATCCCAGGGTCATGTGACCCCTTTTGCGACCTTCTGCAGGCAAAATCAGTGGGGAAGCCAGAATCGTTTAACAACTGTGCTATTAACTTAACTGCAGTGATTCACTTAATGATGGTGGTAAGAAAGGTTGTAAAATGGGGCAAAATTCACTTGACAAATGTCTCTCTTAGCAACATAAATTTTGGGATCAACTGTGGTCATAAATCGAGGACTATAATTTTAGCTCAGTTTTAGAGCTAAGCAAATATTCCTGAGAAGCTCGGGAAGATCACATGACAAGCCCTTAGCCCAGAAGTGGGAAACTCCGCCCCCTTTAAGACTGGTGGACTTCAACTCCCAGAATTCCTGAGCATGGCTGGCTCAGGAATTCTGGGAGTTGAAGTCCATAAGTCATAAAAGGGCCAAGGTTCCCTACCCCTGCCTTAGTCCAACAATTCTCCTCAGATCAGGAAAATTAAAATCTGTAGACACAAAACATATTTAATAGACATGTGGAAAACTTTCTAACACAAGTGGCTGAAAATAGCATACAATAACCTTCCCTCACAACCCACAGCTAGTATGGCCATTTATCAAATTGGCTCAGAGATTTTGAGAGTTGCAATCTCAACAAATCTGAAGAAGACCAGATTTGAGAAAGCTATCATATAATAATAACAACAACAACAACAACAGCAACAACAAAGTTGAAAGGGACCTAGGAGGTCATCTGGTCCAACCCCCTGCTCAGGCAGGAAACCCTATACCATTTCAGACAGATGACCGTCCAGTCTCTTCTTAAAAACCTCCAGTGTTGGAGCATTCACCATTTCTGGAGGCAGGTTGTTCCACTGGTTAATTGTTCTAACTGTCAGGAAGTTTCTCCTTAGTTCTAGGTTGCTTCTCTTCTTGTTTAGCTTCCATCCATTGCTTCTTGTCCTGCCTTCAGGCGCTTTGGAAAATAGCTTGACTCCCTCTTTTTGTGGCAGCCCCTGAGATACTGGAACATTGCTACCATGTCCCCCCTTGTTCTTCTTTTTGTTAAACTAGACATACCTAATTCCAGCAACCGTTCCTTATATGCTTTAGCCTCCAGTCCCCTAATCATCTTTGTTGTTCTTTTCTGTACTCTTTCTAGAGGCTCAGCATTTTTTTTACATCGTGGTGACCAAACGTGGTGACCAAAACTGGAATATGGAAATGTTCCTCTTGCTAATATGTTTGCTTTCCGCAGCATCTATTTTTTTATTTCTATGATTTCTATATTTCTTTTTATTTCAAAGCCTACTGCCCTATAATAGGCGTAGGCAACCTTGGCTCTTTTATGACTCGTGGACTTCAACTCCCAGAATTCCTGAGCCAGCCATGCTGAGGGGAAAGAGAGAGGTTTCCAAGCTGAGCCATGCTGGCTCAGGAATTCTGGGAGTTGAAGTCCACGAGTCATCAAAGAGCCAAGGTTGCCTATCCCTGCCCTATAGGCTTGGAGAGAAAATCCCCAGAATTCATACTCTCACAGCTTGGGAGTTTTAGAAAATGTAATTCCAACAGATTTGGTTCGAGAAAAATAATTCTACATGGCAGCTAGGTTCAAATATATAAAGCCACAATGATCGTGATAACCATAAGGTGGTTTGTTTGATTTTGGCAAGGGATATGATGTAAACTCAGCCAATTCAGTAAAACATATTCAGACAAATTATAATTTAACCCAACATTTGAATCTAGTCAGTAAGACAAAAGAAATCAAAACAATCTCTGCTAAATAGTTTGGTGTTCAGTTGAAATTAATATTTGGTGCCATGGGCTTAGGTTTTTTTTTAAGAACATAAATATACAATATACTCATGTACAGAATGTCATTTTCCCTTAAAAATGAGATTTTTACAAAAAAATAAATCACAACTGTATTGCATTTAAACATTATGAATAAAGGAAATACATCTATTGAACATTTCAGATGATACCAATAAGAGTGGTAATATTAAAAGGCATTACCTGTTTCTAAAGCAGATTCAGTGTTTCTCTGACTTCTCCCAGCCTGATTTGTAGCGGCGTTCACAGCAGTCTTTTTCCCTGGTAATGTCTTCTTCGGGACTGTAACAGTTGCCTTTAACCGTTTGGTTATAGTGTCTACTGCCTCTTCTAGGGACTTGTCTACATACAAGGTTAGATTGGCTAGAAGTGCTTCTGTTTTGGCCTCAACCATGGCATCGGTGAGCTCTTGGAAGCCTTTCTGAAACAATATGCCCTCTGAATGAACACTTGGCATCAGTTTGGGAATGCTGGCATTCATTTCTTTAATGGTTCCAGAGACACCCTGACACAAGTTCCTTGCTTCATTGGCTGTCTTGTTTAAGACAGGGATGCTCAGCGATAAGCGGATGCTTTTGGCTTCAAGAGCCCTGATTCTGGAATTGAAGGTCTGAAGCTGAACAGAGATGGCTTTCTCATTTTCCGTGGCAGCTGCTTTCACGTTCCTTACTGAGACACAATTGTTTGCCAAGAATTTGATGACTTTTGCCTCCACAGCCTGCAGCCGCATTTCATGGTCATTATATTCATTGCTGGAGAGCAATATTTTCTCATCCGGGTGACCAGTGTCTTGCTTGTGCTCTTGAACATTTAATAATGTGGTATTTGCGTTAGGGTGACCTCTGCTGAGGTGATGGATGTTCTGCTCACCAAATGAAGATTCCACAGGGGGCCAAATTCTTTTGGGTTTCTCATTTTGGTTGACTAGTATCTGAAGGGATTCATTCATCTTTTGAAATTGTGGTATTAACATCAACATATTTTCCATCTTCTCCCCATGATCACAGCAAGCTTCGGTCTCATTTTTCCAGGTATTCAGGGATTCTTTGAGTACATAGTTATCTTGGATGGAATCAATAGCACTGTTGATAACCATCATGGTTTTGTTTAATCCATCCTCCATTAAAACAAAACATTCATCGATACGCCTCTGAGAAATTTCATCAAGATCCTGAGCTTCATTTTTAAGTTCCTTCTGATTTTTGTGGAGTTTCTCAATGGTGAAGTTCAGCGCTGTCACAACACTAGTTAAGTTCTCCAGTTTTCTGCTAATAGTATCTGTTTCAAGACGCAACTCATCCTCTGATGTAAGGCTGAAAGGAACTCCTTGTTCAATCAAGGGCTGAAGAATCTCCATATCATAGCAGAGATCATTAATTTGTTCATTCATTTTCTCTATCTTATCATCCAAGGGAAACATGAGATTCTCCACAGATTTATTTAAGGAATGAATAACCCCTTCCACACCACTTATTTGCATTTGGATATCACTTCTGCACTGGGACAATATGTTATCACATCTACCTTGTAGATCATGTCTCTGGATTTCAAATGAGATGGTAAGATTATTGATCTTGTTATCTTGGATTCTGAGATCATCGTACAGCTGCAAAACCATCAGGTTCTGGGTTCTCATTTTCTCCTGTAAATTTGTCATGAAATTTGTAAGATTATCACTCATTGATTCAGCAGCTATGGGTACATTCTGGACTGAGCTTCGTTCAGCTGATAGCAGTTGTTCGTGTGCTTCTTTCATTTGTGTAAGAGTTGTGTTCAGAGAGTCATAGTAAATATCACTCTTTGAGCTTTGATGCTCTAGGTCAGTTTCCAAAGATCTCTGCTTTTCTTGCAGTTCTTTGATTGGCTTCTCACATGTAAAGCTTATATCTTCTTCAATATGCAAGATCTGGGTTCGAATGTCTAGTATTTCTACCTTTGTAGGTCTATTTTCAATATCAAGGGCAAATCTCTGGCAGGATTTATTCAAACTTTTGACCAAGCCTTTTGTATTCTCAAGGTCTTCAGAGAGATCAGATGTGATCTTGAAAATCTGAGCCACTGTCTCTTGCATGTCATTTTGGAAGGCTTTAAATTGCTCTTTTACAATTTCTTTGATAATTTCAGTCACACCTTTAGATTTGAAACCTGCAGGGGAGCAAAAGACACAAAAACTTTCCTTAATATGAGGGGGGGGGAACCAATAATCCAATATTTAAGCAAACCTCAGGGTCTCTTTCTCTCTCTCTCTCTCCCCTGCCTAAAACCCATTGTTTTGCCTCTGTAGGTGGCGGCAACGAAACAACGTTTTGTGCAATAACATTTGCACAGTGTGTTTCTGGGTGGATTATTGCCTTTGCGGAGTCTCAAAGGGATTCTGTTTGAATAGCATTTTTGCTAGTTACTCTCATCCTTTTAATCAGTTTTGCTGTCCTGGGGGAGGAGACATAGTATATGTTTCCTCCAATTATAAGACATGGTAACCACAGATTTCAGCAGAATAGTCTAAAGGTTTAAAGGAACTATCCAAATATACAGTCACCCATTTTTGGGGTGGGGGACGAGGATGAAAGATCAATGGCACTGAAATGGTTTCAATTTATTGCTATCTAATCAGCATTAAAACTGCAAACAGAAATTTGCAAGTTAAGATTTATTTATTTGGAATGAGTCAGCTGGGCTTCTTCAAAGTAACATAAAGGAGACTTTTAAATAAAAAGGAGGACTACATGGCTAAAGTTGTCGAAAGGATGGAAACAAACAGTCAGAGACCTGACAGGACCATTATCAAAATGAAGTGCAGGTGGCCTCCACTTCAGTGTTGTCAAATAAGGAGCAAAATCTGTTACCACATTAGAGCAAGCGCAAGAGATGTGAAATTTAAATGCTGAGGCTGGATGGCTGTACAGTGCAGTAATAGGTACTCTTTGTTATGGCCATGTCTTGTAAGGGCAATAACAATAACTTATCTGGCTGAGCCTCATCCTTGACTCTCCCACTGCAGCCTCAACTGAGTGCCAGCTGAATTTATAGAGAGATTTATGAAGCCGAAGCCTGGACCCTGACCTTGCCATTCTTTCCTTAGGATTAGAACTGGAAAGCAATGGTTTCCCCCCCCCCAAAAAAAAACCCCTTCATAATATAGCCTAGAATGAAGTTATTCATTGCACTTTGAAATGATAATCAGAAAAAAATCAACTGGCTAATCCCGAGAGCCTCTAGGAATCTATCTCTGCTTAAACTGTCTTTATGATAATAGGATTAAGCTTTTGGGGTCTTCAGCCATTCCTCTCTGGAACGCTTGGGTGCTTACAGTATTCATCTTTCTAACCTATTAGACCATTGTTCTTAGTTTGGACAGTTTCCTATGCTCTCTTGAGAGTAGTCTTTCCCCTACCTTGTACCCTCCTGAAGGATTGCATTCCAATACCCATAATTCTCAACCAGCCCGTGACAAAAGCATTCACAGGTTTGAATAAGTTTATTAGCAAAACACCTGAAAAGGGCTGTGGCATTGTCTGGTAAAAAATCTTCATGCATTCCTTGTTTATTATTTGTTTCTTAGAAGTTTATCCTAACCTAATCCTATGACTCTCCACAGTGTACATGACTATAGAACAGTGGTTCTCAACCTGTGGGTTGGGACCCCATTTGGGGTCAAACGACCATTTCACCGGGGTCGCCAAACAACGCAGTCCGCCATTTTTTCCCCCTTTTCCTTAGCTGTGCTACTCCCTTTGATTCTATTGGCTTTTGAAAGCCAATAGAATAAACTCTCTTGAATAAAGTCTAATTCTATTGGCTTTCAAAAGCCAATAGGAATTGTCCAGGCTGTCTCTGCCTTGCTGAGCCAGCCAAAAGTCCCATTCTGCAAACGGTGCTGCACCAGTAGAGTAGTCCTCAACTTATGACCGATTGAGTAGTCCTCAACTTACGACTGATTGGGGGTCGCGGCATTAAAAAGGTTGAGAACCACTGCTATAGAATGTCTATAATAAATGTCATAAAATTTTTAAAGGCCCAGAGGAATGGAGGATACCCAAAGTTCCACTGATGTTACCCAACTAATTGAAAAAGTTCATCAAAACTTCAACTCTGTTCTAATTTGGGGCAAATTTAACTTCCAGGAGAAAGACTGTTCTACAACACAGGGATCAAGGTTTCAACTCACATGACTACCTTGAATAATTTAGAACTGGAGGGTCACTTTAAAGGTGATGTTTTCAGCTGGAAAGGATCATGTAGGTTGCAGCATAACATATTTAAGCCTTTACACAAGAATCTGGTCAACTCAACACTAAATTGGCACCAGATAAGGGTCAAAGGAATTCAGGAAGGATTGGGCTTGGTCTGCCTGTGGGAACACAATGAGTCTAAACTGATGATGCGCTCAATTCTGCCCCTCCCCCTGCTTTTTTCCCTACAGATGTTGCATTATTGGAATAGAGGTGAATGAGGTGGTGGCCAGCATCATAGGCAATGTTCAAATGTCTTGTGGGAAGGGAAATAGGGCCTGCAGTTTGCCCACCTGTTTTTTATGTCCTTTGTACCACAATGAGCAATATTATTTGCCATCCTTGTCTCAATTGACAACATTCATTGAATGTAAAAAAAAGTGTTGTGGGTTTACAGATAAGACAGAGCCTGCTGTAATTATCTTAATTGTCCTAAGTAAAAATCCCTCCTGGCTGAAAGAGAAACATGTACCCAGAGAAACCTCTGATATGAATGACAACTGCCTTGCTTATAGGCAAAAAACCCACAACATGGCGGTACATCTATTTACTTGTTTTTACCCAACCTTACGAGAAATCTTTTTTTGCTAGTCCAGCATTATAAGGAATTAAGATATACTCTGAGGAGGTGTAATTTAGATGAATTAGATCTAATTAAAGAAGGCACCTGAGTTCAATTGATTCAGCATATATTCAGCATATTCATATTGATGAATATGTTTTGAGGAGGGAATATACACAAATATATTTGATAATGTTCTACCAGGTAGAAAAAAAATATGGCAATGTATATATCAATCTACATACATGGACACCTAAAATGGATGAGTTTGATCAAAACAGAAACGCTAATCTCAATGAGCATAAGAAATGGTTAATTATGTGACAAGAACATAATTTTAATCTAACAGAGCAAGAAAAAGGAAGAATGAAAGATTAACTAACTGGAATATAAGGAAGAATCTGTGACCATATGATATCAAAACCAAGGCAAGTCCTATGAGGATCAATCTCAAATCTTAATAAGAGCTAATTAGCTAAAGAAACTACACAACCACTAATTACTTAGTAAAGGCCACTGTCAACTAAAAAGAAAGAATAATCTCACAGGTGTGGATGTCTGAAGGGCTCAATCTACTACAGCATTTCAAAATAAGTGGAATAGGTAACTTGGGAGCTCTCTAACCTGGAACACCAAATAAATAGTTCTGTAAAAATGCCATTTTCCCAAGAACCATTAACTTCTATCCATCCTCTGGATACAGAATGCTCGGATTGAATATGGAGAATAATGCTCAACAGTGTAGACCACCAAATAAGTCATCCAAATTTCTCATTTGAGGCACAAATGACCATGGTTAAATTATCCTACTATAGTCACTTTATGAAAACATTCTGAGAAGAAGACTCTCATCCTACGAAAGAAGGAAGGAAAGAGAAGAAGGGAATGACCAACCGAAGGATGGATGAACTCATTTACAGTGGAAATGGATACACTAGCAGACCTTAAATTTATCATGAAGAAAAGATATCTATGTGGTAGCTAAGAGTGAGTGGTGACTTGATGGCACATATTCAATTATTTTTTTACAAGAGAAAAAGAAATATACTGTAGTTAGTTTTACAGTTGTTTTGTTTTGTCAGGCCGTTTTGTTTCTTTTAAATTACTAAATTTGAAATTACATCAATCACCTAGTTAAATCTAGAGGTGTGGGTATGTATATGTGAAATGTGTGTTCAGCATAATAAATACTTTTTTAAAAAAATCCTTGTGTTGGGGCTTTTATCAGCCTCTGAATGAAATACAGATCCTAGAAACAACAATATTTATTGCACTGTAATGCATTTATTGGCAATTAGGATATTTTCCAGATTAGAAGTGCAGCTTCTAAATACCTACAGAACTTTGTCCACCAATTATCACTATAGTGTGTGTGAATTGCAGATACAGTGGGTTTTGATCTAATTATAAAATTAGACCAATTTCTTAGCAGTTCAGAACTTCAGTTGCCATTTGTCTCCATGTGGGAAGGAAGGGAAAGAGTGAGGAATGGATCAGGAGAAAATATAAAGAAAAGGAAGTATATCAATGGAAGAATGAGTGTTCCTATCCAGTAGGATCTTTCCACCCTCTTCTTAGTACGACCTTGATCTGATTCTCCTCCATCAGTTATCACTTGATTTGTTCTCCTCCACCAATCATCACTAAAGGAATGCAGACTTTGGAAGCTAATTGGTCGATACACCCTGCTATAGGACTTTGAACTGCTTTTCATCCTCATTCATCATTTTTATGAAAACAACCAACACTCTCCCTTACAGTTCTGATGATGTTAACTGGTATTCATTTTTCTCTAGGCCTCAAATCTGCCCCTGATATTATTACCTTATCTTTAAGATCCCAAAGATGCTTTTTCATCAGGCAACTGGACTTTCTTATTTTTCTTTGAAGACGTTTCACTTCTCATCCAAGAAGCTTCTTGGATGAGAAGCGAAATGTCTTCAAAGAAAAACACAAGAAAGTCCAGTTGCCTTGTGAAAAAGCAACTTTGGGATAACTATGACCTGGATGACTGAGAATCTCCATAGACAGTGGTTCTCAACCTTTTTAATGCCACGACCCCCAACCGGTCGTAAGTCGAGGACTACTCAACTGGTCGTAAGTTGAGGACTACTCAATTGGTGCAGCACCATTTGCAGAATGGGACTTTTGGTGGGCTCAGCAGGGCAGAGACAGCCTGGACAATCCCTATTGGCTTCTGAAAGCCAATAGAATTAGACTCTATTCAAGAGAATCTATTCTATTGGCTTTCAAAAGCCAATAGAATAAAAGGGAGTAGCACAGCTAAGGAAAAGGGGAAAAAAATGGCGGACTGCGTTGTTTGGTGAACCCCGTGAAATGGTCGTTCGACC